TCCCCGTGTGTTCTCATGACATGGCAGCTGCCTTCTTCCAGAGAACACGATGCAAGAGAGAGCAAGGCAGAAGCCACAGTGTCTTTTATGATCTAGCCTTAGAACGCTGTCATTTTTCTTATTATTCCATTGAGCATACAGATCAGCCCTACTCAGCGTGGGTTGGGATGATCCAAGGGTGTGCATACCAGGATGGGGAGAATCACTAGGAGTCATCTGGTAAGTTGGCTCTTACAGTGGGGAGGGGCTGGGTGGGAGAGGGGGAGGAGGAAGGTCTCAACACATAATGTACAATTTTACCTTTTAGCCATTTTTTTTGGGAGATATTGCCATTTTCTGCAATACCTGATATCTGCAGTTTGAGGATCCCGAGTTTTGTCCTCCCCAAAGAATAATACTCCTATCTTCTACAGAATGGAGGAGCGGTTTGTAGGGGAGAGAACTGAAGAGTTTGCTTCTTGAAAAGACTCATGTAGTCTGTCTGTCCTTGGTTCCTGTGCTTCAGGAAGCACCTGGCCTGCTAATTTTCCAGGCTTGGTGAGAGGGAGGTGGCCCTGCAGTGTGAGTTGGGTGCGTTCTTGGCTTTCCCCACTGCCAGTTTAGAAGTCAGCTTTAATATTTTGGCTAAGTCCATTTCCATTCATCCCTCAGCTTTTCTGCTTTCAAAATCGTGTTGCTATTGGTTTCTTTCTGATTCTCATTATTCTTGTGGATTTATTTCTGATTTTTAAAATCAATCCCTTTTCTGCGAGTTATTGGGAACTGAGGTGGGGGAGTAGAAGCCAGTGCATGCATTTGCTTTGTAACTTTTAACTGGACATCCCCTCCTCTTCTCTTTCATCCTCACTTCTTCTGGGCTTTGCCCTTCAATTTGAAAATTATTCTCTTTTCTTCCCCTCCGCCCCCCGATAAAGCTTCTGAAATGGGTCAAGAACCTATTTTAAAGGCCTAAAACTGAATAAAGACCCTTTCCATATGTGTTTTTAATTTCTCCTAAGAAAATGGATGGCTCTAATTAAATAGATAGTCACACACAAAAAAGCAAAGAACTTTTATATATTTCAAAATATTATCCAACCAGAACAGCACTATCATCTGCAGTGAAAAAGGGCATCAGGTAAGGGAAAGCAACTGAAGCAACAAAACTCATGCTATTGACCCAGCAGTAGTAGGATGGATGTTCTTGTATTGAGTCAACCACACTTCACCAAACTGCACTGCTTTAGTTCCTCCATGAAGGATGGCGCATACCCCTGTGCAAAGAGGTAACTTGTACTGATTGATAATGAGAACTCATCCTCTCATCCAAGGATTCCTTAACTGAGAGATCACTGGTTGTCAAAAGGAACAGAAGTATCTCTTGGGATGTTTGGAAATAGGTGGGGGTAATTTTTAGTTGTCATCAGAGATTGGGCAGCATTGCAGGCATGCAGTGGGGCCAGGGACGCTTAATATCTGGCAATGCTGAGAAAACACTGTACAATGAAGAACCGTCCTATCCCAAACGCCAAAGGTATCTTCATGGGGGCATTATATGCCTGGGAAGGTACCTTCAATGGAGTTGAAGTCACCAAAACAGAAACTAATCCAGAAAGTACTAGAACTTGGTTACATATATGCAGATCTAACAAAACATTAGAAGGAAATTTTAGCTGAAGAATTGAGAGGTGTCAGACCATATGCAGAATTTACCAAGCAAGTTTTCAAAAGTTTGCATAACTCTTAGACCCTCACTCACATTGAAGATACCAAAGAGTCAAGAGTAGGGAATTTCTAGAGAATTTTGGAAGATTTACTTATAAAGGCCCTATATTGTGAATCCTTAAACTCCCATCAAGGGGAAAGACTTGGGAAGGGGCTACACTCTACTCCAAGTCAAGAGAGACAAAGACTTTAATGTCACATATGTAGCTTAAAACATGGTACCTACAGTTTGGGTCACTTAGTCTTGGTGACTAAGTCATGCCTGCGAAATCCAAAGGGTGAGAGAGGTTGACTGAAGCAGCTGCTAGTATCAGAGTAGAGAGTTACGGTTTGAGAAGTAATTGCATTCCAGAGTTTGTTGAAGCCAAAATGAATGAATGTATCCCCACGGAGAAGACATAGGCTTTGCAAAGGAAAGAGAACCAGTGTCTTAGATCCTTTGCAAGACTTCCGAGAAGGTTGGGAGTACCATGATTGTGTAAGGCCATGGTAAGTGTAGTAAGCAACTAGCTGAATAGTTGCATCTCATGCTCATGGATGGGAGGGCAGGTAAGAGTGTCCGTCCTCTTAATGTGTGTGTATGTTGGGGGTACCAACCTATTTTAATGGTAGATAGAGAGGTTCTGGAAAAAAAAAGAGTTCATTTGATAGCGATGGGGAATTGCCATCCAGTATATGCAGTCCATGATGATCATGGGTATATCCGGATAAATTAAGGTAAGGGGAAACTTTAAGAAGACAAAGAAGAGGTCCACATAAGCTATTTTGAAACAAAAAATCATTGGCCACAGGGGCTTGTGGCAGGAGCTGGTGCTCGCTCATTGGTGGAGACAGCCATTGCTAGGCAAGTCTTATACAAGCAGCTTATCTGGAATGCCACAATCTTGCGGAATTTCTTGTGGTAGCCCTGCTACAGACTTGTGTCGAGCAGCAAGATGTGCAGGACATGCAGGATGTTCAGGGGTTTATGGGTTTTTAGAAGGTCCTTGTGTTCTTATCTCAGAAATATGAGCATGAGATCCCCTCCTTCATGACTGCCTGGCTTCACTTTGCTTGGGCCTCATGTAAGTGACTTCCCCTTGGCATTGACTTCACAGGGCAAGGGGTAACCAAGGAACCACAAAAGCCACCATAAAGAGCAGGAAGCAGCTTTAAACAGCTGTCAAATCCAGAGGAGGTCAAAGCTACAGCTCTAGAATAGGACCAGTCATGGAAGAACTTTCCTGCCCTCCATCCCCTCTACTTCCACCTCAGAAGGATCTAAACCTACATGAGCACAACCAGGAGAGAAAAAGGAGAAGTAACCACTGTTTTACCTTCTCTTCAGCTGCAAGATTTCTGGGGGAGAAGGAAAGAAAAGCACACTGCCATGTGTGTTCCTACGCAACTGTCTTGCATGCTCTGCTCATGTACCCCAAAACCTAAAATCCAATAAAAAATTAAAAAAAAAAAGATTTCTGATTGCTGCAGAGCCTACTTGAGGGTTCAGAACTTTGACCATCACATGGGAATGGAACATCTTAATTACTGAATTGGGGCTGGGTGCAGTGGCTCACGCCTGGAATCCCAGCACTTTGGGAGACTGAGGTGGGAAGATCATGAGGTCAAGAGATCGAGACTATCCTGGCCAACATGGTGAAACCCCATCTCTACTAAAAATACAAAAATTAGCTGGGTGTAGTAGCATGTGTGTGTGTAATCTCAGCTACTCAGGAAGCTGAGGAAAGAGAATTGCTTGAAACCAGGAGGTGGAGGTGGCAGTGAACTGAGATTGCACCACTGCACTCCAGCCTGGGCGACAGAGCTTGACTGTCTCAAAAAAAAAAAATATATACACACACACACACACACACACACACACACACACACACACTGAATTGGGACTGTGTTTTTTAACTTAAAGTGACTGGAAGAATCCATGTGTCTACTTGAGTTTTCATTTAGGGACAAGGGTGGAGCTAGCCCCATTGATATGTTTAAAGGGACAAGAGAATTCTAGACAGCAGGAAGTCTAATGCTGGCACATAAGACCTTAGGAAATGGTCCACCCTCCTCAGGGCAGTGAGGAATAGCTTTGTTGAGGTTAATAATGTGAGGATGGAGAGGGCAATAGATGAGCAAGAGTCAGACCTTGCTCATGACACAGCCAAGTTGCTTTCCATGACCCAGAGCTGTGTTAGGAAGGGGCCATAATACCGAGAGGCAGACAATGTGGGTTCTGGTCCTGGCCCTCGCATTTGCTACTTGCTGGACCACATGCACTCACATTGATTCTTTAGGTCTCTGTTTCCTCATCTGTACAATGGGTCTATGCATCTTCCCTGCCAGCCCACAGAACTGTGGTGAAGGTCACATGAAGACGTGCATGAGAAAGTGCTTGTCAAGTAGTAGGGGACCCACCACAGCAAGGTAAGTTGATGTGTTGAAAACAGTGAAGGCCAGGCCTAAGGAAAGGGGAAGCAGGACACATTTGTGGTAGTGTTTCCTACTCCCTTACTTCTGGTCCTTTCCATAGCTTTCCCCATGTAGGCCATCTAATCTCCCCACCCCCAAAAGAAAAGTTGGGCACATAAGTTGCTTGACCGCATTCATGCACATTCATTCAATGTATTACCTCCCTAGGGTATTTTAATTTTAAAATGGATGAAAGCAGGAAGCCCCCCAAAAGGAACATATAATACAGAAACACAGGGACCATGAGACTTATGTGAGTGGGAATATGTGGGGGCCGGGAAACTGCCCAGGCCACTCTGTGGGTCAACTGGACTCCCTCATCAGGAAGGTCAGTGCTCTTGGGGGCCGCACTCTTGAGTCTCAGTCCCCATGCAAAGGCCCTGTTCTCATGCCTAAGCAGGGCAGCCGAGGCATTTGGTGGAACTTGGAACTGCCAGCAAGTGGGTTGTTCAGGGATTCTGCCTGAGTCCTCCACGTGGCCTACCAGGTGGGAAGAGGCACAGATGAAGAGTTAACGGCACGGTGGCCTTTACTGGAATGCTAACAGCCCTCTCCAGGCCTCCAAGATGGCCCCAAGTGAAGAGAAGTGACGTCCCCACAGTGTGGTGGAGGCAACAGTGTCTCAGCCCCTCTCCATCCCTGTATGTCTCTAGCTGGTGCTGCCCACGCCTCTCTTCCCCATTTTGACTCTTTTGAAGAGAGCCACAGCATCTCTACTTCCAAACACCCACACAGGCTGGGGTCACTGGGAGCTGCCTGGGACCGAGCTCTGTGGCCCCAAGGTGACATATGACCTTGAAGCATCACAAAACCTGGAAAAAATGTGGCCAGCCTTCCTCAAATAAGTTGGTTTTCCAAACCTTGTCTCAGGACTTTATTAGGTCTTTAAAGCAAGGAGACAAGTGAGTGTGTATTTTCTCCAGCACATGGGTTCACCCTGGACTTGAATCCCATCTCAGTGGAGTCTGGACCGCAGGCTCTGCACCCGCATGCTGGCTATGCCCTGCCTCGTGAGAAGGCCGGTGAGCGCTGCCCTCTGTTGGTGTCAAGGGGCCCGTCCTCAAGCATCTGGTCCCTGGCAATGTGGCCATGGCCCTCCACCCAGAAGGCCTTCTCTTCCTCCCAGAGGGCATTCTCCTCCTCCCAGAGGGACTTTTTATCCTCCCACAGAGCTTTCTCCTCCTCAAGGAGGGCTCTTTCCTCCACCAACAGGGCATTTTCTTCCTCCCACAGGGCCTTGTCCTCCTGAAGAAGGTTCTGGTCTCTTTCCCACAAGGCATTGTCCTCTTTCCAGAAGGCCTTATCCTCCTTCCAGAAGGTGCAATATTTTTTCCAGAAAGTTTTCTCTTCCTCCCTGAAAGACTTTTCCATTTCCCAGAAGGATTTCTCCTCCTTCCAGAAGGTTTTCTCATCTTCCCAGAAAGGTCTCTCTTCTTCCCACAAACCCAGGATCTGGCCCCGGAAAGCATGGATCTTGCCTCGGAAAGTCCACATCTCTTCCCTGAAGTCCTCTATTTTCTCACGGAAAGTTTTCATCTCTTCGCGAAAAGCCTTTTCCTCCTGCAGATTGTGCATTAGTTTCTTCTGGCGAACGCTGGGAGAGGATAGCACCAGAGGCCGGAAGCAGGCAAACCCCGTCCATCTGCTCACCTTGAAGGAAAACATCTTCCTTATCAGCTGGAATGGTGGGGTGGCCATGAGGGAGGACAGGACTATTGGCCAAGTCCAGGTCAGCTGGTCAAATCCTGCAGGGGCAGCAGAGAAGACAGGTCCGTGAGTGTCACATGCCAGGGGCTAACCCTTGGGTCTGTACTCCTGGATTTGGGAAAATGTAATCACTGCTCTTTGTCCCCATGGTGGTGTTCGTGAGGGACAAGCTGTGGTAGAGAAGCATGCAGGGTGGTCATGCCTTTGAGCTAGAGAGACAGTCAGGACATTCAAGCTCAAGGCTACTGAAACCATGGACACTCGGCCAACAAGGACAGATACCCTAGCTGTCAACTAGGGTATCAGAGCACACAGGTGTGACATTATACAGCCAAGAAGAATTTACGTTTGTCAAATCAATCCGAATGAACTTAGGTTTTGGTGTACTCACTTGGGAATGGTTCCTAGCTGCCTATAGGCGTACTCACATGTGAATGTCCTCTATTATGAGGCTGGGACACAGAGGATAGACCCACTGACCTCAGCAGAGAGGAGGGGAGTGTATTGTGGGAAAAGTAGCTTCAAACAAAAAGGTGAGAGACAATGGTGAATGTTGCCAGTGTTGTGGACCAAGAAGACCCTCACATGATACTGAGTTATATGGAACAATCAGAAAGACATCTGATTACCCAGGAGCTCCAGTCACAGATATAAACCCTGAGGAAACTCGGGAACTGTGACCAGGATACATGTACAAGCGTGTTCAAGGAGCTTTGTTCATAAGAGCTCAACTTGGCCAGGCTCATGTGGTGGCTCATGCCTGTAATCCCAGCACATTGGGGGGCTGGGTTGGGCAGATCATGAGGTGAGGAGTTCGAGACCAGCCTGGCCAACATGGTGAAACCCTGTCTCTACTAAAAATACAAAAAAGGTAGCTGGGCATGGTGGTGGGTGCCTGTAATCTCAGCTACTTGGGAGGCTGAGGCAGGGGAATTGCTTGAACCCGGGAGGTGGAGGTTGCAGTGAGCCGAGATTGTGCCATTGAACCCTAGCCTGAGTGACAAGAGCAAGATTCTGTCTCAGAAAAAAAAACCTCAACTCTGGAAACAATCCAATGACCATTCCAAATAAAGTGGAATAAAAAATGGTGGTATATCCACATGGCAGATAGCACGGCTGCCTACAACAGCATGGATGAGTCTTCCAAATGCCATGCCGAAAGAGAGAGGCAGGATCAGGGAATTTCAAAGAATGAAGTTCCAAACAAGCAAATTAAACGCCATTGTCTAGGGGAACATACTTCAGTGTTAACACAGAAAGAGAAAAGCAAGAAAGTGGGTCCCACAGTCAGAGTAGTAGTTGCTGGTGTCAGGGGATCAAGGGTATGGGATGAGGAGGTGGAACTAAGGGTTGTGATTAGGTGAGTACCCGAGACAGGCTTCTGCAGCAAAAGCAGGATTCTGATTCTTTGCTTGGTGTTGGTTTCATGTGAGTCGTTATAAAAATGTGCTAAGTGGTACGTGGATATTTTATGTACCCCAGTTGATACCGTATATTTCACAATAAAATAAAAGCTAGGGAGAAGAAAGAAGGAAAAGAAAAGGGAAAGAAAGAGGGAGAAGGAAGGAAGGAGTAGAGGAGAGAGAATGATCTTCACACATTGCCATATATCTGAGGAATCGGATATTGAAACTATCCATAACAATTCCTGTAACTACAAACATGAGTCAAGGGATGAGAAAAAGTGCTGGACATGGGAAGGTGGTTAGAGTGCAGGAAAGAGCTCAGTGTTGTCAGATGAGGGGTGCATGCACTCGCTGAGAGCATTGCTTTGCATTTTGTGGCTTCTGGAGGAAGCTGCCAGGGTCTGGCCTCACTCAGTGGACCTCACCCACCCATCATCCACGAGACCTTTTGGGGAAATTTTCAGGGCTTTCTTAAGGTTTTTCCATTTCTGGCTCAGAAACAGGGAGTGAAGGAAGAGAAAAGACACATAGCTGGTGTGTGTGTGTGTGTGTGTGTGTGTGTGTGTGCCTGTGTGTGCACATGCATGCACACATATGAAGAGAGAGGGGCTAGGCTGTGGACAGCTGATGGCATCACCATCCATCCAGAACAGGGGGCACATTCTCAACTGCTCCCTCTCCCAGTCCCTCACCAGACCTCTCCTCAATCACCCAGCTCTCCTACCTGAGATCCTTAATATTTCTTGAAACTATGTCCCTATACCCTCTCCCCAACCACAGCCAGGTCAGGCCAGGATGACTGTAGGAGCCTCACTGCTCTCTGTATTGATCTTACCCTCTCATCCACCCCTGCGCTGAAGCCCTATAGGTGTTTTCTAAAATGCTCTCTTGTCATATCATGTCAGTTCATACACCTTCAAAGACCCCGTAGCCCAAAGATCAAAACTGAACGCCCTAGGAAGGGCCTGTGCAGCCCACCTCCAGCTTGCTTCTCCCTCTCCTTCCCACTCAGCCTGCCTCCAACTCCAAATCCAAGGCCCAGTATTAACTAGCTCTCTTCAGCTCTTGGCACCTGCCTGCAGTTTCCTGCCTGTATGGTGAGGCACATGCCTCGTCCTCTACTGAGGGCCCCTTTTCCTCCTGATGTGGGCTTGAATTCCTGCTCATCCTTCCCCTCTGAAAGCTACTCAGACCCTCCAGACAAAGTTCCTCTCCACCTCCTGACGCTGTCTATTACGCCACTGTTACTTGTCACACTTGATTGAAATTAGGTGTGGACATGTCTTCCTGCCATCTCTGTAATCTAGCAAACCTTGCAGCTATTGTAATATAAAGTCATCTATATAGGAGGGAATTGGAGAAAATATTGGTTGAATTGAGCTGAATTTAACTGCGCTTTGGAAGTTTGATTTTCTATATTGTATGATTTTGTCTGGAATCCTTCCAATATGTCCTCCCTCGCTTCCATGCCAGGCTGGCCCCTCTCCCTGGATAGCCTTGCCCAACCTCACTTCAGTTCACCTAGCAAATCCTTCAAGACTCAGATAAGGAGTCACCTCCTCCAGGCAGCTTCTCCTGATGCCCCCTCACGAAGCTCAGACTGAGCCTGTGCCCTTTCTGTCCCACTAGAAACATCTCATCTTCCATTTCTATGTCTGACATCCAGCAAAATGTCTGCCACAGGATGGATGTTCAGGAAATAGCAGCTGGATGAATGGCCGTCTACCGGGTTAAGACGTTAAAAAAAATCCACTTCCAAGTTTTTCTCAAGTGAACACTAAACTGTCTTTAAGAAGGAAATAAAATAACCATATCAAATAAATAGATGTGTATTAAGATATAAAGTACAAATATATAGATGTGTATTAAGATATAAAATAAAACTGTAGACATGTATCATGTATAAATGCATGCACTAAAGAAACATTCCTAGTTTTCAGTACTGTAAGACTAGGAACTTTTTAAGAAAAATATTATATATGACCTTATGCCTAGAACAAATACTACACAGTCTTAAGTCAGCAGTTACTTACTGCTTAGCTGCTTCCCAACTGGGCAAGTCCTGTAGCCCTCAGAGGTGGGCAGGCAGTCATTGTCACATCAGATCCCCAGTGATGCATGCTTGCAGGCTCACCCCAACACTGCTGGCGGTGACCCGTCTGTGCCCTTTCAGTCCTGACTCATAGGATGGAGAGGGGCAAGAAGGGGCTCCCCATAAGAGACTTTAAGGAAAGGAGGGAGCACCTGAAAGGTTTGAAAGAGTTCATCTTCCATCTTTGACTTCACTGATAGGGTGGTGCTGTTGATGACTCACAAGCGATTGTTACCTTAGGTTCTGTCAGCCCATTGGTTCCAGGAGCATGGTTCTAGGAAGTCATGTTCTGGTGGGGGCTTTGCATGAGATGAATCACTTCTCTTGCTGCTTTCCCGATTCTTTGGCTTTGGCTTTTGATAGTTTGACTATAATATGTCTTGGTCTTGGGGTTTATTCTACTTGGAGATTGATGAGCTTCTTGTATATGCAGATTTGATGCAGTTTTTCACCATATTTCAGAAGTTTTGGGCCATTATTTCTTTAAATAGTCTTTCTTCAATTTTCTCTGTCTCCCCTCCTTCTAGGACTCATATAATGTGAATACTAGTAGTGTGAGGGTGTCCTCCAGGTCTCTAAAGTTGTATTCATTTTTCTTCATTCTTTTTCTTTCTCTTGCTTAGATTAGATAATCTCAACCTATTTCCAAGTTCATGGATTTTTTTTCTTCTGTTAGTTCAAATCTGCTGTTGAGCCCCTCTTTAATTTTTCATTTTCAACTCCAGAATTTTTATTATGTAGTAAATTTTTAAAATAATAAAATAAATGAACATATCCATCATCTCATATAGTTACGCTTTTTTGTGCATTGTAGCAAGAGCACCCAAAATCTACTCTCTTAGCAAAAATCCTGAATGCGAGGTTATTAACTCTAGTCCTCATGCTGTACCTTAGGTCTCTAAATTATTTATCCTTGTATCTGCAACTTTATACCCTTTCACCTCCGTCTTCCTGCCCGCTCCCCACACCTAGCAACCACCATTTTATTCTGTGTCTGTGTACTTGACTATTTTCTTTCTCTTTCTTTTTCTTTTTATTTTTTTAGATTCCACATGTAAGATTGTGTAGCATTTTTCTTTCTGTGTCTGGCTTCTTTCACTTAACGTCATGTTCTCCAGGTTCATCTATCTTGTGGCAAATGGCAAGATTCTCTTCTTATGACCAAATAATATTCCACTTTATATATGTACCACAATTTATTTATCCATCCATCAATGGACCCCTAATCCATCCAGAATTTCTCCAGAAATTTTCACTGTGTCTCCATAATTTCTATTTGGTTATATATAGAACAGTATATATATATACTTCTCTCTCTTTATTTATACACACACACACACACACACACACACACACACTTTTCTATATATATACTTTTCCACATAGATACTTTTCTATATATATATGTAAAGTATATATACATGAAGTCTGTGTGTATATATACATACTTTTATACACACACACACACACACACACACACATGCTTTTCTATATCTGTTTGGTGAGACATAGTTTTAAATTTTTTCCTTTAATGCTTGTTTTTTGAGACATCGTCTCTGTCACCCAGGTTGGAGTACAATGGCATGATCTTGGTTAACCGCAGCCTCAGCCTCCTGGGCTCAAGTGATCTTCCCACTCCAGCCTCTCAAGTAGCTGGGACTACAGGTGTCTGCCACCACACACAGCTAATTTTTTGTATTTGTTATAGAGATGGGGTTTCTCCATGTTGCCCAGGCTGGTCTCTAACTTCTGGGCTCATGTGATCTACCCATTCACCCTCCCACAGTGCTGGGATTATTGGTGTGAGCCACCACACCTGGCCTTGTTTGCCTTTCATTCTTTAGGGCCAGTTTCTTTTTGTTCTTTAACTACATTGGTAATGGCTGACTAAAAATCTTGGTCTAATCGCCCAATGTCTGCAATTCCTCGGGCACAGTTTATAACCAAAAACAGAATTACTCAGAGAATAACAGTTTCAAGCCAGGCCTGGTGGCTCATGCCTGTAATCCCAGCACTTTGGGAGGCTGAGGTGGGAAGATGGCTTGAGTGTAGGAGTTTGAGACCACCCTGCACAACATAAGAAGACCCTGTCTGTACAAAACTAAAATGAATTAGTCAGCTTTGGTTGTACATGCCTGTAGTCCCAGCTACTTGGAAGGCTGAGAAGGAAGGGATCATTTGAGTGCAGGAGGTTGAGGCTGCAGTGAGCTATGATTGTGCCACTGCACTGCAGCCTGGGTGACAGAGTGAGACCCTGTCTCAAAAAAAAAAAAATAGAATAACAGTTTCTATTGGCTGCTTTTCCCCTTTTCTACTGGCTGCTTTCCCCCTTACTCTGATTGCAATAAAGGGTTTCCTGTTTCTTTGCATGCCTCAAAAATTGTTGTTGAAGTTGGACACTTAATATAGTAACTAAAAATGAGAGTCCCACTCCCAAGTTTTGTTGTGGATGTTTATTGTTGTTGCTGTTGCTATTTGTTTGTTTGCTAACTTTCTTGGACAAATTCTATGAAGTCTGTATTTTTTTTGTCATGTGTGGGCACTGAAGTCTGCTTATTATCTTAATGATCAGCTAATGATTGGACAGAGATCTCCATGAACTGATGTCTCCTTTCCTTTGCTGAGGGTGTGTGTGTGTGTGTGTGTGTGTGTGTGTGTGTGTTTGGTGGGTGGTGGGGAGGTGAGGGTTGGGCATGCTTTTAATGATCATGCAGGCAGTTTATGATTCTGCCTTAGCCTTCATGTCCTTCTTGTGAGAGCCTCGAAGTCAGCCTGAGGTGAGAGATTATGGCCTTCTCAGGTCTTTCTCAGCCTTGTGCACAGTCACATGCACATGACCCAGATTCTCAGGAATATATCGAAACTCTTCAAAGTCTCCACTTTATACTCCAGTTTTTCTTTTTCAGTTATTGGTCAAGCCTCTGGTCAACCCCAACTGGTAATGACAAATTGGGCAGCTATGATATGAGATAATTACCACTATTTTTTTTTACCAGTGCCCTGAGGATAGGGTTAGTTGCACAGAGTAAGCGCTGAGTCAAGTCCGATAAATACAAGTTCTATAAAGGAAGCTTTTCAGTGAACTGCCAAACACGCCAAATAGTAATTCTTTGAGGATGGAAAGAATCCATCCTAACTCTTACTCAGTCATTCTGGAAATCTCAATTATTGGTTTTTAAAAACCATTCTTCTTTTCTAATATATGGGCTTAAGACTATCAGTTTCCGAGACAGCCGAGTAAAAATGGCTCCTGGGAGAACCTCCCACCTGCCACGGGTGGACAGGGCAGGATCTCGGGAAGTTCACATTGTCTGCAGAGGGGAAGGATCCTGGCCTCTCATGTTCCTGGGTAGCAACCTAGGATTCAATCTGTGAGATGGGGCCTGTTAGCAGGAACCCCTTTCACTTTGCTTAGTTTTTCCCCCCTTTACACCTAATAATAAATTTTGTTTTTCTTACCCTTCTAGGTGTCCACAAGCCTATTCTTTCCTGGTTGTGTGACAAGAACCTCGTTTACAGCTAAACTGAGGAGAAAGTCCTACAACATTTCCACCTAAGGACACTTACCTGCATCTCACATGTTTTGATATGTCACCTTTGAATTACCATTCAGTTAAAATGTTTTCTGATACCATTGGAATTACTTCTTTGATCCATTGGCTATTTACAAGTATATTTCTTAATTTCTAAATATATGGGGATTTTCCAATTACCTTTTTGTTACTGATTTCCAGCTCAATTTCATTATGATTTGCACAGAGAATATGGTTTGTATACTCTAATTTCAATCATTTCAATTTGCTAACACTTGCCTTATGCCCCTGCATACATTCAATTGTGGTAAATGTTCCATGTCCACTTGAAAATAATTGGTATTCTTCAGTTGCTTGTTACAGTGTTCCCTCTCTATGTATGTCTGAATTAGGTTGAGTCTTTACCTACGTCGTTCAAACCTTCTATAGTCCATTTCACTATTCTTTCTTCAGCCGTGTCTAATCTACTGTTTTGATTCAGTCTTTGATTTTCTTTATTAAATATTATTACAATCTAGGATATTCACCTGGTTCTCAGTTTTTCTGGTACCAAATTTATCCATCTTGATTTTTAATTCCATGCATTAATTGTAGTTACGTTAAAGTCTATGTCTTATTATTTCTCAAGATCTAGATCTTCTGTGAATATGTTTCTATTGTCTGTTTTCCCTCTGGATTTTCTGTCAAAACTTATTTTCTTATATGGCTTGTTCTTTTGATAGAGTGCCAATATTCTGAGGCTCTTCAGCATGTTATCTTCTTCCAGATGTATTTATTTTTTATTCTGGTAGGCAGAGAGGCTAGAAATGAATTACTTTAATCCAGTCTGGAATTGAGATAATTCTAAACTGGGCTTCCCTTCTTGTGAGATAGGCTTCTTCAGTTGATCCTTTCTTCAAACAAAAGCTCGTGGTATTTTTCAGAACCTCTCCTGTCTGATAGATCCTTAGGTCAATTTTAATCCTTAGACCTCTTTTACCTTGCTAAAATTTCTGTTCAAATTTCTCAGCCTTTCATTCACTGCTTTCAATTTGAAATCAAATGACTTGAGGGAAAAGAATCTTCAAATGCCATATTCACCTCCACTGTCTTTATTGCTTGTTCAGGTCTCGGTCTCAAAGTTTTTCTCCCTGACTAGGTGTCTGTGAGATGTCCAGTTCCTCAAGTTGTTCCCAATATGATATTTTGCCCCAAACAACCTAGTCAGCCTTTACCTAGTGCAACACTCATATGGGGGGTTATAACCAAAAGAGTCATATAATAGAACTTTAGAATGTTGACCTGACCAAAAGGCCCAAACTAGCAGTAAATAAATCAATAATAATAATTAAAGTAGCTAGCATTTGTTGACCATTTCCTATGCACTCAGCCACAGTCCTAAGTACTTTCGTATATATAGCCCATTTAATCTTAAAAATAAATGAACAAATTAGGTATTAATACCATTTTCATTTTACATATGAGGAAGGAAGTGCATAGAAAATTTCAGAAACTTGCCTAAAGCTACACAGAAGTAGAGCTTAGATTTGAACCAAGACAGTTTTGCTCAGAGATCATAGTGCTTTAAAATAGAATGTTACTATAATAATATAGACATCAATAGCCCAAGTTACAATGAGCATTATAGCTGGGGAGTCAGAGAAGAACAGCGAGCTACAAGAAATATTTTGAAGAAAGACTCAAAAGGTGATCAAATTGTTGCATGGCATGAAGATGAAGGAAAGGTCTCAATTACCTGGCCTCAAGATCTGGAAAGTGATCATGTGCTGATAGAAATGTGAAACTGAGCTGGAGTTGGTTTAGATGGGCTGGGGCAGTATTCTTACATGAAACTTTGGGATTCTCAGTGATTCATAATTCATAAAATGTTTGCTATTTCAGGTAAGCCTTATAGCCTCTGGAGGAAACAGCAATAAGATTATTATTGTTGAATGTGAATGGAGTACAGAAAGTAAATCAATTAACATCAGCAAGCTCATGGGATCAAAAAGGATATACTTTCTCCCCCTGCCTCACACTGTGTACCAAATCAAAAATTTCTATTCACTCAAGATAGACAGTTTAACTTAAATATTTTTAAATCAGTGCCTCATGAGTGACAGACATTTAACTTAAATTTTTTTCAATGCTATTATTTTAAAATATAGTTTATGATTCTCTCCAATTTTCAAGGCAATGCATGTTCATTGTAAAACAAAAATTAGAAAATAGAGCAAAGATGAAGAAGAAAATGAAAATCATCCATATTTCAATACTCAAAGGTAACCAGTATAAACATTTTGGGGTATATTCTTCTAATACATTTCCTGTACTTATGACCACATATAATCTATGCAGTTGGTTTTATTCTGTGTATGCTGTTTTGTGGCTTGCTTTTTCATATAATATCATTCAAGCATCCCAATTTCTTTAAACATTTTTGAGAACACAATTTTTCATTGCTGCCACAGTCTATACTTGCCTATGTTGGAAAATTATTCCATTAGGGATATATTATGGTTGACCCTTGAACAACATAGGTGTGGAATTCATGAATAACACAAACAGTATAGCATTGGATTAAATTTTAAATATTAAAAAGTACTCATAATTTAAAAAATAGATATGGTACAGCTCTGTTTATCGAAATGGACCAGCAGCAACAATATCACAGAAGCCATGCATACCTGCTGTGCACAGATCATAGGCTCTAATACTATACCCCACTAAGAGGAGACAGGGCTCCACTGATAAGTGACTATTTTTCTAGGGACAGGGGATGGAAAGTATAAACTCAACTTTGGACATATTTTTTAGACAGCAAGGAAACTTTTATGTCACATCAAAAGGACACAGGGGACCAGGCATGGTGGCTCATGCCTGTAATCCCAAGGCTTTGGGAGGCCAAGGCAGGTGGATCACTTGAGGCTAAGAGTTCCAGACCAGCCTGGCCAACACAGCAAAACCTATCTTTACAAAAATACAAAAATTAGCATGTAGTCCCAGCTCCTCCAGAACTGAGGCATGAGAATCACTAAACCCAGGAGGCGGAGGTTGTAGTGAGCCAAGATCGTGCCAGTGCACTCCAGGCTAGGCAACAGAGAAAAACTCTAACTCAAAAAGAAAAAAAGAATAATGTTCATAATTGCTTGAAATCCATGGAATCTCTAAGAATTCATGATACTAAAAAAAGAGAGAGAAAGAACTCATTTGTCACCATCTAAGGTGACAGTTAAGGCTATTAAGTCCATTTCTTTGAAAATAAGAAAATGAATGAATAATGTATTTTGTCTTTCCTTTGCAAACATCATGACACCAAAGCTCCAGTTGATACGGGCAAGCTATGGAGAAGAATGCTGATGGATCTACACAGAAGGAGTGAGTGAATCAGAAAGAAACTATTGTTTCACATTCCTAATTAAGTGATTAGTTTGGCGAGTTGATCCATTGGTTTTGAAAGCACTATATACATGGTTGATGGGAAACTAGACATAGTGTCTGAAAATAAAACTAAGTGGAATATATATCATTGCATGATAGAGGGATCAGGCTGTTATCTGTATAATGGTTAATTTAACACCAGGAAGTATGGGTCAGCCAGGTATCAGAGCCTCTTGATGTAACACAATGTGACTGTTTTTACATAGGCAAGTCTCTGGAAGCAGAGCCTGTGATCTACTGGGGGACGAGGAAGACTCTCTGGAGCCGGGGAGTGAAGGAAGCAGGAAAGGGCAGGGGAACGCTACGTGAGGCTGGGTCCCAGCTGGAGAAGGGCAACACCTGGATCCCAAGGGTAGCTCAGGAGCATGACCTGCTCCACAGGGTCTGCCCACCTTGAGGAGCATGCCACTACCTGCAAGCTTCCCTCTGTGCACCATTCCCATTTCCCTTCTGCTTCAGCCACATGGTGTTGGTAAAGGGCATACTGTGAGGTGCCGGAATATAACCTCCATGGATACAGGTGAAGGGGGCTGAGTTGTGGCCTCCAAAATTCATCTGCTGAAGCCCTAACCCCCAGGCCCTCAGAATGTACTATTTTTGGAGATAGAACCTTTAAAAGGTAATTAAATTACAATGAGGTCATTAGAGTGAGCCTTAGTCCAACCTGAGTGGTATCTTTATAAGAAAAGGAAATCAGGACCTAGAAACACACAGGCTGAATATAAGGGGAGAAGGCAGCCGCCTGCAAGCCTGGAGAGAGGCCTCATAGGAAGCTAATCCCACTGACGCCTTGATCTTAGACTTCCAGCCGCCAGAACCGTGAGAACATTAATTACTATTGTTTGAGCCACCTCGTCTGTGGTACTTTGTTAGGGCAGCCTGAGCAAATGAATGCAGCAGAGATCTTTATTTTGCTTACTGTTTCATTCCCAGAACTTAGAACAGTGTCTGGCACATAATAAACATAGTTATTGAATAAATAAATAAATAAATGTTCTATTACTAGAGTTTTAAGTAGAAAGCAGGGGAAATCTACTTTCAGATTTTCTCTCTATATATCTGTGGTTTCTATTCTTTTGCCTCTCCCATCACACTTTTTATCCCAGCAGAGGTTTCATCCTTGCCTCCTCCTCCCATTTTCTTCTTCCAGTGAAGGAAGAATTTTTCCTTACCTTGGCAATTTCAGGGGACTTTCTCTACATTTCATTTTCTTCTGTGGATTCCTTTGGATCTTCGTTCTTGGTGATTGTGGCAGATTGACTTTTCCAAAGATGGCTTTAACATCTCCCATCCATACGCTCTTCTTACACTATGACCTCTCCAATACGCCATCAAGAGGCAGAGTCATCTCCTCCATCTGAACCCAGGTGAGCCTTCAGTTACTTCAACCCACAGAGTGCAGGTCAAGTGATGTGTAATCACTGAGGGCAGCTGGGTGCAGAAGCCCTTTCTACCAGCTAACCAGAGTGCTAATCTTCTCCTAGCTCCATGCTCACAGCCTGAAAACAACCACAGAGAGATTACCTATGTCATAGGGGCCAGCAAATCATTCTCTCTCTCTCTCTCTCTCTCTCTCTCTCACACACATCTACTCTCATCTATCTACATCTCTACACACACACACACACACACACAGCTGATTAATAAATACAAGTGCACCACTGTTTCTGAGGCTATATCATAAAAGATGAATGGTTTCCTCTGGATCTCTCTCAGTCCACTTGCTCTTAAATCCCAGCCCCTATGCTGGGAAGAAGCCCAGGGCTCATGAAGAGGCTGTATATAGTGTTCTGGCCCACAGCCCCAGCTGAGGTTCTAGCCACAGCCAGCGTCAGCTGCCACTATGCATGTGAGTGAGGATGCCTTCAGATGACTGCAACCCCAGCTATTGTCTGCATTCATATGAGAGACCCAAGTGAAAACCTCCCAGTGGAGCCCTGCCAACCCATAGAACTGAGAGACAGTATAATCATTAACAGTCATAATTGCTCATACTCCTTAGTTTGGAGTGTTTATGCCCCAGTAGATCATCAGAACAGTGATATTTGCTCTTTTCTTTACCACGGCATCAAAAGTTAAGGGGAGTGAAAATGTAACCATCTGATGTTTTAAAAAATATTCGTTTTACATGATAAATCTTTGTGTTCAGAGTGACATTCATTCACTTTTTTATTCATTAATTCACTCAATAAATATTGGTCAAGTGCTAATTAAGCATCAAATCTTGTGCTCACTGTTAAGAGGAGCCCAAAGTCCACAAATGCAGAAGAAATGGAAACAATTAAATACAAATACAGTGTGAAAAACACCACAGTCCAGGATACACTGGGGGTGTGCAAAAGACAAAGGGGCCAACTCTTTCTTATTGGAGTTCAATTGCACAGAGAGCAGGAGATAGCCAAAGAAGACTTCAGAGAGGATATGGACCAGGCCACGTCCTGAAAACTGGGTGCTTTTCCAAGTTATTAGTGGGAAGGGTTTCTCAAACAGAGAGCCCACAAGAAGGGCGTGGAGCCATGGGAATCAGATCTGGAAACCCATGTTTCATGTGACTGGGGGTTTTAAATGCTGGACAGTGGCTGAAGGACTTAGTGCGGGGAGCTGCCTGCTGGGCCATGTTGAGAAATATCAGGCTGGAAAGATAGGTCCAAACCAAGTTATAAAGACCTTTGACTCTATCCTGAGAAGAAATTATAGGTATAATAAGAATTAAAGTATTATTTTAAATTTATTACAAATCAGCAAACATACTTGATGATAAAACACTCAGGGCTTACTGTGTGCCCATAATTTCACATTGATGTAAGTATACCAGCTGACTGATGCCTCCACTCTGACTGTTCAGGGCTCTTGTCTAGCTTTTAAATACTTTCAAAATATCCCCGAAGACATTATTAAAGAACAAGGCAAAGTGGGTAGCAGTCACTGTTTTGTAAATAACAGCCAATTTATTAGGCTAAGAAAACAGGTATGAATATTAGAAAGAAATCATCATTACTTATAGATGACTTGGCTTAGTACCTAATAAAGAGGGGGAGAGAAAATCAACTTAAAATTGTAGTTGATAATGACAGTAGAATGCCAATTCTCCCCAAATTTATGTATAAACTTTAGTGCAATCTCAAACAAAATTACGGAAGGGTTTTTCTTTCCACAGGGGAACATTTCAAGTAGCTGGGACTACAGGCACACCACCCCATGCCAAGCTAATATTTTATTTTTTAGCCTCACTACGTTGCTTGAGCTGGTCTCGAACTCCTGGCCTCAGGCGATCATCCTGCCTCAGCCTCCCAAAGTGCTCGGTCACAGGTGTGAGCCACCTTGTCCAGCCTGTTCCTGAAAGAGACGACTGGGTCCCTCTGTTCCAGAGCACCTTGGACACCTGCCGGGTTCCGCAGGACCCTTGGAATGTTAGAGCTTGACTCCCCAGCCTCTCAGATGCTGGATTTCTTTGCTGATTAAATTGTGCTAAAATACAGGTAACATAAAACTCTCCATCTTAACCACTGAAAAATGTCCAGTTCAGTAGTGTTAAGAATATTCACATTGTTGTGCAACCAATCTTTTTCATCTTGCAAAACTTAAATGCCACATCCCTTAAACACCAGCACCCCATGCTCCCCTTCCTCCAACCCCTGCACCCATCCCCTTTCTCCAGCGCCCATCGACTTCCGTTTCTATGAGAGTAGACTGTTCTGTCTTATGTGAGTGGAATCTTACATCTGCCTTTCTGTGGCTAGCTTATTTCCCAGCATAATGGCCTCAAGCTTGCAGCGTGGTCAGGGGTTGCCTGTGGTTTAATTCTTCTTCTTCTGGACTATGAACTACTTTCAGGACTCACACATTCTGTTTCTCTTTTTCTTAAATTGTCCTCAGGAAAATTAAAATACTGTGAAAAGTCAAAAAAAAAATGAAAACTTCTATTGAAATGCTTTTTGACTCAGGTAAAAGTTAAAGTGAGGAACCCTGAAGGTTTTCTCCCAAATTAGGAAGCCATCAGGATGAGGAGATGGTAAATATAGAAAAGGTGACTCAAGTAGAAGAGTGACATCAGAATGGAAAACTTCCAAAAAAGCATTCAAAGAATGAGGATGGTTACACAGAACTAATTCGTTGGGGAATACCACACAAGCAAAGATGAAAAAAGACAACCTTTTGCGCAGTCTTGGGGAAGAGCGAGAGTGAACACTCATCAATGTCCCTCGGCTTTCTGATTGCTCCTTGTGGGGTGCACAACCTGGTCTTTGGGCAACTTTAGTATCTCCATTACTACAGCTTCCATCAAGAAGTCAGGCCTACCCTCATTAACTCACAGTTGCCTTTGTAATTAAACTCAGGGACATGCTCATTAACTCACTACTTTTGCATCAAAATCAAAATTCCTTATGGGATACGTTTGATTTTATTAAGTAATCTTTTTACTCATAGTATCTGGCTTGGAGTCAGCAGTATTCGTTCAATGAATGAATAAACTCACTTTTACGAGGAGAACCACCTCAACTAAAAACATGCATTTAAAAATGTATACTCTGAATTCAACTTTCAATCAATTCTACTCTCCTCGCCCCCAATGTGCCCTTTATTCATATGGGAATAGTGTAGTGGTGCCACATGTGGACTCTATCACATGGTATGAGTTTGCTTTGTAGCCATGTGCCTTTAATCTCTCTGGACCTCGTGCTACTCATCTGTGAAGTGGGGGTACTAATCGCACCTGCTTTGCTTTGGGCAGCATTTCCAGTGGTGGTTTTCTGCTCACATCTCTAGGGTTGGCAGCTGCTTCCATTGTCAATTGTTAATCTCTGGGTTACTCCACCTACGTCGTGTGTGATTTTTCACCTCTTCCATGGCTCTTGTAACTAATTCCCCATATCGAATTCCCTGTTTTCCTAACTGACACAGCGATTATTATGACTATCATTTATCATTAGCTTTGGAGTCTCATAATCACTTTCCAAACACTCCTACTTCCTCTTCCACAAAAATCTCCTATTTCTGCACTCACAAATACAGTTGTCTGGTTTGGCAGAAAAATATTCTTTGATGTTTTGCTGCATCTTTGGGGACATGTGGAAAAGCTCCTGAATGACCTGCCATTATTTTCTCCCTTCCTGAACTCCCAGGAAGACTGCCCCATAACCTGACATTTTCTTTGTTTTGATGTCTGGGCTAAAATGTGCTCAGAAATGTCTACTGTCCCTTTTTGGCCAGGTCCAGGGCAGGCTCTTGATCACTGTGTGCTCCCAGACGCCACCATGGTAGCAGGGAAGTCTTAAGGCTCTGACCTCACTGCTCATAGTCACTCTGCTTCTGCTCATTTAATGTGAGATAAGATTCAAGTACCATCATGCTTCACTGAACAATGGGGATATGTTCTGAGAAATGTGTCATTAGGCAATTTGGCCATTGTGTGAACATCATAGAATGTACTCACACAAACTCACATGGCATAGCCTACTACATACCCAGTGCTCCCCAACCTTTTTGGCACCAGAGACCAGATTCATGGGGGTGAGGATGGGAGAAGGTTTAGGCATGAAACTGTTCAACCCTCAGATCATCAGGCATTAGACTGTCATAAGTCCAGCCTATTGTTCCTAGCCTGCACACCTGAGGCTTTTTACAGTTCACCATTTTTGTTCATAAGTAGAAGGAGTACACTCTAAGGTAATGATAAAAAGTATAATCAATAAAGTAGGGACTTGATTGTTTTTTATTACTGTAAAGTATGTACTATACACAATGTGTGTGCCATGCTTTTACCTGACTGGCAGTGCAGTAGGTTTGTTTACAGCAACATCACCACAAACACATGAACAATGTGTTGCACTACAACATTATAACTACTATGACATCACCAGGTGATAGGAAGCTTTTAGTTCCGTTACAATCTTAGGGAACCACCATCCATGTGGTCCATCATTGACTGAAACATTGTTATGTGGCTCGTAACGGTAACTGTACGCCCTCTCCCCTTCCTCCTCTGCCCCACCCTGTCCTGTGGTGTGAAGTGGTCAGCTTGGATTCAGGACTGGGACAGTGGCAGGGCCAGCCCTGGAGTGAGCCGAGAGAGTGGCCTGAGGCACAAGGCTTAAGGAGGTGCCCTCCCAGCGCCTTGCAAGTGCAGGGGTGGCCTCTGAGGGAGCAGCTCCTTACATTTTGCATCATAGGCTCTGCTCTTGCCTCACCCCAGTCCCTCCTCAGTAGACTGGCCTTTTCCACCAAAATGACAACAAAAATCTGAATGTCAGGGTTGGAGAATGTCTTTAATGTCGTGTGGCGCCAGTTTCTCAAACTGTGGTCCATGGAGCACCTGCAGGAGGCTTACCAGAGTCTCAACTGCAGATTCCTGGGCCCAGGCCGGACCTACAGATTCAGAATCTTTGGGAGGTGGTACAGGAATCCGCATTTCAATAAAGAATCTCTGGCACTTCTTATAAATCAGCAGTTGAGAACTTCTACTGCTAGGTGCTTGCTACCAACACACAACAGCGTCACACAGCAGCCTGCTTCAGGACTAGGAAGGCCACTGGGAGAAAGTTGATGACATGGGGCACAATTTGGCCTCCCTGTAACTTCACCCTGTCTCAGAGGTGGCGTCTAGAATGACCCAGAATCAACTGAATCCCTTTTCTACGTGGCAGTGCTCAAGTCCATAGCGCACCTCATATCCTCAGCGCACTTTGAGTACTTTCACCCACTTTCCTAAGCAGCCGCTGTTCGGTCCACTCTCCCTCATGTGCCACGAGCACGCAGGGAGGGCAAGGGGTGAGAAGGGACTCGCACCAGAAGTAAATCCATAGGTTTCGCGTCTAAGGGACTGAAATGAAGTTTCCCGCGGGAAGTCCTAACTCCGAGGGGTCGGCCATCTTTCCACAGCTACCGGGTCGCTCTGCCGCCCCCCAGCGGGCCCCGGGAACACTGCAGGGGTATGAGCCGGCAGTGGGGCTGCTCTCCCCACACGTGGGAGTGGGAAATGGAGAGAACCCGCCCCTTAGAGGAAAAGCCACGAGTTGCTCTTGCGTTTCAGGAGAGAAAGGGAGAAAGAAAGCGTGCGACAGGGATTGGGAGCCCCAGGTGAAGAGGAGCCCCACAGAGTCAGCCCTGGACACCGGGTCCCCAGAGGGGCTGAGTGCTGCCTGGTTCTGGATCCCACTGGGCGCAGCTCAGGTGAGTCCGGAAGCCCTGGGCGGCCTGTGACGTTGGAGAGAGTCCTAGCAGAGGGTTTCTTGGAATCGTTCCTAGGAAGATGCCGATGTGCTGATTTATGCTTCCTGGAAAGAAATGACTGTATTGTGGAAGTGCTTTTCTTGATTGTGTGGAGGGAAAGAAAATAGTCTTCATTGAGGCTAAGGGAAAAGGGTTTTCGAAAGAAGTGGATAATCGTAAAGGAATAATGAACCGTAGGGTGAAAGCAAGTTTGTGGGACTGTTAGAAACAACTTGGCGGCTGCAGGACAGCGAGTGGGGACCACAGACGTCACCTCCACGTTTTACTTGTTGGGGCTCTGAGCAAGTGGCTTTGACTTGGTCAATTTAAAGGGGTGGTAGAGCTCAAAGGAAGTGCATTTTCCATTTCCTAGGAGCCAAACAATGAAGGCATCCTAGGGAGGTTGTGGAATGACTCTGGGACACAGTAGGAATGCAGTAACCTCGGCTGAATTCGTGCATGCGGGCATAGCTAGGAGAGAAAACAGCACAGGTTACATAGAGAGCTGCAGATAAGAGAGGCCTGTGTCCTGAGCACCCGAAATGTTTGTTGGAAATATTCAACAATGCTAGTTAACATCTGCTTGGAAGGAACAGGTATGGGGATGGTTAATGTCAAATATTCAATGTTATTCAAAACCAAGCAGTGAGTTATTCCTCACAGCTGATTTAGGAATGAATAATTTACCAAGCCAATCAGTAAAATCATAGTCACATATATGTGTTCACTGTTGATTCATGACACAAATCAGAGGTTAAAAATAAAGTAGAATTTTATAAATTTGAACTCTAAAACTGGGAACATTAGTCATAGAAGGTTTCTCAGACCTAGTCCTATTGACGTTTTGGAGCAGATAACTCTGTTTTTGGACACTGCCCTGCTCCTTGTAGGGTGTTTTGCAGCATCTCTGGTCTCTTTATCCACAGCCCTGCCCCAGCCATGACTATTAAAAATGTTTCCACATATTGCCAAATGTGCCTTGGGGGTCAGATCACCTGTGGTTGAGAACCACTGAGATGTATCAGTTGGACTGAGAATTGGAAGTGCGTCGAGCATGTCATTTGGCAATTATTGATTAGTTTCATGGCACCCTTTATTATCACTCAGCTGCCAGGAGAGGAAGCAGCAGGGGCTACTCTCACTAGCCTTCTAGGTGTGAGACACAGCGTCCTATCACAGCATGCACAAGCATGAACTTCTAAGTCACTGCTTGATCACACTGGAGAGAAGACACTGCCCAGCCTGTTACCCTAATCTCTTCCTGTTTCAGATTTCTAACAAATAAGAAATCTCTATCAAATAAGAAAAAATGCCCATTTTCTTAGTACTTAGGAGGCATAGAAATCCATTAAATGGATTGCATTGACATGAATCCATCATTACTATGTATTTGCTCTTTTGGACATCTCCTGCTGTTGAGGGACCCTGTCTTGGAAGAGCTACCACTTCAAAGGGCTCCAAGGAACATGTAATTGAGTTTTGTGAGTTGTTCAAGTCCCCACCATAATAGCGAATAGGTCTTTTGTAGCATATTTGAATCTGCAAATTCACACAGGGAGTTCTGTGAATCAAAAAGCAGTTTCACTGCTATTTTCTCAATTTGCAGCTTTCTTTGTGGGCTTGATCTGAATTGAAATAAATCCATATCATGAGTTGTAAAAACCAAATCACAAAGGGGAACATACAACTGGAAAACAAGCCTAGAAAGAATTGGCAATATCACTGGCAATCAAAAACGTAAATTAAAATAATTCATTTCCACGTTTGCCTATGAGAGTAATAAAAATGCATTAGCCTTTCTGCCACCCAGTGGTGGTTCCGTGTGGTGGAACTGGCTCTCTCATACTGCTGGTGGCGCTGGAAATAGATACAGCTCCTTTAGAAGTCAATTTTACCTCAAACCCCAAAAATTGCTTATGCTTTTTAAGTAAATAACTATTCCAGGAGATCTATGTGATGCCTGAAACAAAGCACTTTTCACAGACAGAAATGTCTCTTAGGATTAGTTATGAGTGAAAAGTAAATATCCCAAAACAAGATACAGAGAAATATAGTTTGATGTAGCCTACTCTGTAGAATATAATTCAGCTGCGAAAATGAAAGTTCTGAAGAGCAAATGGTAACAGAATGCTTCTGTCAAAATGTGAAGTGTTCACTTAATGCGCCTGAATACTGCAACCATGTGAAATGTGTGTACCTGCACACATGCGTGTGTGCATATGCAGATACTTGAAAGCCCCCAAATGCTAACCGTTGTTGGGCTGGAAGTCTGCGTTGTTTATAATAACTAATGATTGTCTTTTCTCTGTGATCTAATTTTTCTGCGAAGTTGCTTTTGTAATTTATAAAGAAAATATTCCAAAAGAGAAAAAAGATTACCTACCACCGTCACATAATCGCTCTCCTTTTTCTGTTTGCTCCCTGGTGGACTTGCTCCTTTCTGCTTATCTATCCCCTACATGCAACTTTTTAAAAATCTCTGGACTTTTGGAAAGCAAACTACTTCTCATTTCAAATAACACTTCTTGAATTTTAAGAGGTTTTAAAAAAGAAGTTTAAAATTATAATGGTAAAACCTGCTAATGGGGGAAAAGGCAAGGCAATAATTGGGTATCAGTGGAAATAAAAATACATCCCTTGAGGTGGGGCGCAGTGGCTCACGCATGCGATCCCAACACTTTGGGAGGCCGAGATGGGTGGATCACCTGAGGTCGAGAGTTCGAAACCAGCCTGGCCAACATGGTGACACCCCATCTCTATTTAAAACAAATACATCCCACACCTGCTTCCAGCACATTCCTCCCTAGCCCAGCCCCAGTGGCCCCATATCCCTGTACCTGCCTTCACAGGGAACAATTATTCACAGTGGTTTAGTGTTTATGCTTCTGATTGTTTTCTATATATATATATATTTTTTGAGACGGAGTCTCACTCTGTTGCCCAGGCTGGAGTGCAGTGGCATGATATTGGCTCATAGCCTCTGCCTCCCGGGTTCAAGTGATTATCCTGTCTCAGCCTCCTGAGTAGCTGGGATTACAGGTGCCCACAACTGTACCTGGGTAATTTTTGTATTTTTAGTAGAGATGGGGTTTCACCATGTTGGTCAGACTGGTCTTGAACTCCTGACTTCATGATCTGCCTGCCTCAGCCTCCCAAAGTGCTGGAATCACAGGCATGAGCCACTGTGCCTGGCTTCTGTGTTTCTGTAGATTTGCAGACATTATTATATGCACAAGGTGATATGATGTGTGTGTGTGTGTGTGTGTGTGTGTGTGTGTTTAACATTTTATTCCTTGTAAGGGAAGTTGAACACAATATGCAAAGTTTGTCGGCCAGCATTTGGGACTGTGGCTGGGAATTCCATCTTCCCTTTCTGGCTGGGTGCCAAAGCTAAGTTCTACTGCCACTGCTACCTGTCTCTTAGGGAACATTCTTTAAGGTGTTACAGAATTAATAACATATCATTCTTTTTTTAGTTCTCATCCATCTTGCCAGTTTATGAAAATAACAAGCTTGAAGGAATAAGAGTCGCCTCATTTATAAAATGGATCTAATACCTGTGCCTTGTGTGGGTGCATTCTATTGGCTCCCTCCTCATTTGGTCTGACATTATCAGTAAAGATATCATTGTTTTTAAATTTGATGTTTCTACCCTTATTTGCAGTTAGTCGCTAAAAGGATCAGCCAATTTAGAACATTTGAATTTTAAAAAATGTATATGCAGCCCTATATTACTCTTTGTGGTAGAACATTGTTCTTCAGGATTCATAGACTAAAGCTTGCACCTCTCACCCCAGTGAATGGCCCAAGGTAGAAATGTGTTGTTACAATGTGACACAGATGGTTTCTGCAAAGCTCCTGTGGATTTGAAGACTGGAGTGTCTTGGTTTATAGGCATCGATAGAGACCATTCAGCACACTTCGAAGGAAGTTTATATAACAGTGGCAACTCCACCATGGAAGTGTAAAGAGATGGCTCACATTTCTCCTCCCTCTGTTCTATCCCTTCTGTGAGGCAGGAGTAAAATGCTGTGGTTCGTGGCTGGAAGATGTAAAGTACACACCCTCCCTGTGACATGAAGCGCACCTCTGTTTTCCCTAAGAGTGAGGAAAGGAACTGACCTTCCAGGCCTTTAGGAGGCTTGATGGGCTGTGGCCCCTTTAGATAACTGAGCTTATCATTGCGTTCAGGAGGATTGTTTTTCAGGCAGGATTTTAAGTTGCTTAGCTTCTGTGACGCCCTGTGGCCATCAACCTCATGAAGTGTGGACATCAGTGGGAAGTCTGTAATCCATACAGTAGCCATTTGTCCATGGCTTGGGGCCTATTCGCTGTTTAACAGAAGGATGTGCACCTGGCACACCCCATTAGGCCAGAGAACTGGTCTAATTTCACCTTGGTGGGTAGAATGCCGAGTCAAGGGCAGGAGGCTGTGGTTTACCCAGGGCTGCAGTGCTTTCTGTGTGTAAGGACACCACAGCCGTAGTTTTTGCAAGGACATTATGGGGGAAAATGGAGCCTGGGAAGAGATATTTGAATCCCAAGCACTGCATTTGGGATTCCCAGGGATTGGAGGAGGGGTCAGAAAATCTTGGGTGCTCAGCCCTGCCACTCGGTCCCATTATCTCACTGCAGTCAAAACTGTCACAGTCGATTCTGGTTAACAGAGAGTGGGCACCTCAAGTTTGGCAGATCTCAGGACACCCGGATCCCAATCTGGCTGTGTGATCCTGGGTGAGTTCTTCACTTTTCTGACCCTCAGTTTCTTCATCTGTAAAATGGGGATAAGAATCTTTGCCTAGTTAATTAGACCCAGGCATAACAGATCTGACCAGGATGGCACCGTGATCTCCTGGCTTAGTCCCTGACTCACTTTGAGAAGCCTCTCCTTTCTAGGTTTCTTGTTTATTCTTGCTCTGGGGTGAAGTAGAGAGATTGTGGGCTTTGAAGGCACAAAGTCCAGGTTTCAGATAGAGTCATGGAGGCCTCATTTCAAACCCCAGTTCTACCACTTACTAGCTGGGTGACTTAGAGCAAACAGACTGATCTGAATCTTGGTTTTCTCTGTAAGATGGGACGTACCTGTCCCTGAAAGAACTGGGGAGATTAAATGAGCTAACAATGTGGAAGATCTTGGCAGGGTGCTGGTGACATGCCTCTGGTTGGGGACTGACTCTGGTCATACTGCCTCCTGCTATAAAGATCCTGCTGACACAAAGCCAGGTTCTGAGCATGGCATGTCCTAGAACCACAGTGATGGGGAATAGAAACCCTGGATCTCAGCTAAATCACCCTGCCTGTACATTAGCTGTGGATCAGCTGCAGAGAGAAGCTGTGGGCCACGTGGCTCCTGCCTGGAGGCCCATGCTGGGGCTGGAGTGACTCGCCGTCCGTGAGCCACAGCTCTGGCCAAAGCAAGCTCTCCTTTTGTCATCATGACCACCTCTGTCCTCGGACCACAAGTCTTCCCTGTCATGGCCTGTTCCCCCTGCACTAACCTCTAGCTCACCCAGGAGGGCCTGCAGGCAGCACTGCTCAAATATGGTGGTCCCCTGGTTTGCAAATCCCCGCAGTATGAGGAATGAGGACCCTGTTACATCGTGCTTTCACATGACTCTGTGCCTACTCACAACGGGTCCCTGGAGAGACTTTGTGTGTGAAGTAAGGATATCTGCCCCAGATCCTACCAGGATCACCATAAGCCCCCATGGAGGCCTCACTCCCAAGCAACGAAATGGTGGGAAGTGGTAGAACTCTGCACGCCTGGCCTAGGAACTCCCTTCCTCTCCTAACGTCTTTACAGGGCTACCTCATTTCACTGGCCAGGAAAATTTGCTTTCTTGATGAGCTGGAGTTTTTTGGTGGATTTAAAATGTGTAAGGCTATTCTTCCAAGGAAGGAACGTCCTTTCTCACAGTGTCAATAAGCTTGCTCAGACCACAGCAGATCTGCAGGGGAGCCGGGGTGGTGCTCCAGGCTGCTCGGGTCTCGGCCCAGGTTGCTCTGGTCAAACGCATGGCTCCCTTCCCGTTTGGGCCCCGGGAGGGTGCAGCAGCTACACTGGGAAGTGAGGGCTCTTGCTCTGTACCTGGGTCCATACCTGGATCAAGTTTGGGCTCTGCCAGTTGCCAGCTCTGATCTCAGGGTGAATCTTAAGCTCTCTGGGTATCTAAGATACTATCTGTAAAACGGAGTCAGTAACACTTCCTAGATTGGATTGTTGTGGGATTAAATATGAGATGACCTTTTTTTTTTTTTTTTTTTTTGTGTGTGAGATGGAGTTTTGCTCGTTACCCAGGCTGGAGTGCAATGGAGCGATCTTGGCTCACTGCAACCTCCACCTCCTGGGTTTAGGCAATTCTCCTGCCTCAGCCTCCTGAGTAGCTGGGATTACAGGCAAGCGCCACCATGCCCAGCTAATTTTTTGTATTTTTAGTAGAGACGGGGTTTTACCATGTTGACCAGGATGGTCTCGATCTCTTGACCTCGTGATCTACCCGCCTCGGCCTCCCAAAGTCCTGGGATTACAGGCTACAGGCATGAGCCACCACACCCGGCCCAGAGATGACCTATTTAAAGAATTAATACAATGCCTGGCTACAGTCATTGCTCAGCAAGTGAGAGCTCTTACCATTTCCCCCTCCAGGTCCGTGTCTTCCTGGCTGGTATCACTGGGCAAGCCTCTTAACCTCTCTGAGCTTGGTTCCCTCATCTGTGGAATTGAGGATCTTTTTCTCAGCCCCGCTAACCACTAACAAGGCCACACCTGCAGGAAGAGCAGCACCGACACTGGCACCCAGACCCCCAAGCTGACTCAGGCCACCACTGACATGCACAGAGGGGGTTGGTTATTAGTGCTGAGTAAATCCTTCCAGCATCCTTTCTAATGAGTTATTTCTGATCCTCAGAACTTGAAGAGCGAGGAAGAACAATGCCAGGAGGTCTGGAGAAAGCCTGTCATGAATGCATTTCCAAAATCGCCAGCAATGGTGAGTCACAGCTCTGAGAAACGCCCTGGTTTTGTAGGACCGAGGGCTCTGGGATGACACGGTGAGCTAAAGCTGGAGTGGGTCACATGGGTGGGCTGCGCTTGGCTCAGGGTGGCCCCGGGGTAGTAGACCTGGGAAGACAGTGTCCGGCCCTCGGTTGGCTGACTTCTCCTTCCATTCCTTACCTATTCATCTTTAGCTTTCCATAGTTCACTGTATATGTTTTCTGTGTAATACCTGTTTGAAAAATATGTGTGTGAATAGAGTCACTGATACAACCCAGGTATAATGGCAGCTGTGTGGGGCACCATCGCAGGGCAATGTGACACTTTGGACCTGGGTAGCTTTCCCTTACTCCCACCTCAACTTGTCTCCTTACCAAGTTGGACTTTCTCCCGCCATCACCTGCTGGGGTCCTTTGTGTCCGGAAGGGCTGGACCACATTACAGAAGGCCCAGTCTCTCTTGTATTTAGACTATCCCAAAAGTAGATCCCCAAATCAGATCCCAAGCCTTGGGGGTCACTGGACTGAAAGGTTTTACCTCATGGTGAGATGTATGGTCTAACTTTTACAGATCAAACATGAATAAAGGGAACATTGTGGGAAGCCTTAAGCAATTCATCTCCAGATACTAGTATCAGGCAGCAGCAGTCAGTGGGTGGCGGCAGACGAAGGCGGAGGAACAGCAGAACAAGGGGCTGATGGACAGGTGCCTGGTACCTCTCCTTACCTGCATTTACCATGTCCTAGCACACACTCTCCACTTCCCACCTCTCCTCCCATGATGTTTCCTGCACTGCTTCATGCCAGCACCTCCAGCAGTGCCTGACATACACTAGGAGCTCAATAAATATGTACTAGCTGACTAAGCAGATGAATGAGTGAAGCGCCAGCTCCCAGATACAACTGACCTTCTCTATTCGCCAGTGGGCCCAGTGCCCACCTCATTCTCCTAAGGCACAGCCCTGTCATTTCACTCCCAAGGACAGCTCTGAGGGCCACCCCCTTCACCCCTGGAGCACACCTACTGCTGTCCCCACAGAGTGGGACAGTGGTGCTGGAGCCTTGCGCCAGGGCCTCTGATGCTCTGCAGGATGAAAGCTCATAGGTGTACTGAGGCAGGGAAAGGAGACACCACCGGTTATATTGTTGCTCTGTATCATCAGCAAATTAACTACCACGACCTCCCCCAACACACGTCCTACCGGTGTACGCAACAGAAGTGCTGATGGCAACACCAGATTGGCAAGAGAGGAAGTGTTAGGCTCAGGGTTTCCCAGAAAAAGAGATGTTTCCTGGCTGCACTGTAAATCTGCAGGTCAAGGTCTCAGCCAACCTTGGCCTGACGACGGCCTCCTTGATTGCTGAGGTTTCTGCCCTCGCTTTATGAATAACTCTGTCTTCAGCCAGCACAGTGGCAAGGCCTCCTAACTGTTCTCACTGCCTCTTGCCTGCCCCCTCAGCAAATCCTCTGGGGAGTCCTTCACTGCAAAGTGACTCCCCATTCCCTAGAATAAAACCAAAGCTTCTGCTCTCCCGTGAAACCCATTGTGATCGGGTCCCTGTTTACCCCTTGAATCACTCCTTCTTCTTCCCTTCTCGCTCTGGAAAATCCAGCCAGACAAAAACATTTTAGGCTCCCTCAAAACACCAGCTTCTGTTCTCTCCCTGGGCCTTCCAACATGTGTTTCTTTGCCTAGATGTCTACTTCCTCCCACCTGCCCCTGCAGATAAAGGTTGGATCAGGCAAGAATTATCAATAGACACTAAATCTAAGAGGAAATTTTGATGACAAGAAGTATATTGGTTGCAAGGGAGGAATAGAATAATCCTCATACAGTGGAAAAAGTAGACCACAGTTCGGGGTTTAAAATGAACATTACCAGTGAGGGACGGGTACCTGTCACCAATGCAGTAATCCAGCCAAGAATGCACAGCCGAAATCCAAACACAAGAGAACATCTGCCAATTACAAAGTGAGGAGTGTTCTCTTTAAAAGAAGCAGAGAGGACTGTGTTCTTCAAAAATGTCAACATCCTAGAAAACAAAACAAAAAAGGCAGTGAGAATGTTCTAGCTTTGAGGGAGGTCTCTGAATCCATCTTGTGCTGCTGTAACAGAATACCACAGACTAAGTAATTTATAATGAACAGAAAGTGGTTTGCTGACTGTTCTGGAAGCCGAGAAGTCCAAGACTGAGAGGCCAGCAGCTGGGAAGGGCCTTCTTGTGTCATCCCGTGGAGGAAGGCATCACGTGGGTGAGAGAAAAAGGGCTCAACTCCCCCTTTTATAATGAACCTGCTCCAGTGAGGCCATGAACCCATTCACTGTGCTCCCATAGCCTGATAACCTCTCATTTAGGTTCTACCTCCCAACATTTTTGCACTGGGGATTGAGTTTCCAACACATGAACTTCAGGGGACACATTCAAACCACATCAAGCAAAGGAGATATGACAACAAAATGCAACATGTCACCCTAGATTGGAGGCAAGGACTTTATTAGGTCATCAACACTGGAATATGGATGGCAGATTAAAACACTGTGTCAGTGTAAGAAGCTGCCACTGTCCTAAGGTAGTATATTAATAAGAGAATATCCCTATCCCCAGGAAATGCACATTGGGATTATTTCCAACTAAAAAATTAAAAAACTTAAAAGGCATGCAGATGGAAACCTGAGTGGCAAGACTCTGAATGTTTGCTCTATCACTCTCTGTACTTGTATGAATGTTTATGAATTTTCATAATTAATATGTCTTTTTAGGCTGGAAAAAATTGGCATCCGTGACCTGGCGACATAGTACATAGATGCAAATCCATGTGCCATAGTGTTTTCCTTTCAAGTGACTTCTAAATTTTCTTCTGTCTGGTCTACATTTTCCACATTTCCTATAAAGCTACATACTTTTGTAATTAGAGAATGCAAGTTTTATTTTTATTTTATTTTATGCTTTAAGAACACTCTCCAGATATCCCCTTAGATAGGTTGGTGCTGTCCCTATCCACATGTGGAGTTTGCTAAGTGGTGGCGGCCTCAGAGGGGTGGCCTGCTCATCTGGGCATCTTTCCAGGGAGCAGGGTGGCCTCCGTGCCCTCACACACCAGCAAGCCACCTGGGGGAGCTTTGGAGCTCTCCTGGGCCACCGCACAGCCCTGCTCTCAGCCTCTCCATCTGGCGCGCTCTCTCTGTCAAGCTCTCTGCTGCGGAACATTTGCTTCCCTGCGGCCTCCTGCTGCCCCAGAGGGTGACTTTCATCACTGGGCAGCAGTGAAATCTCGATGAATCCACATGCAGTGTGTGCAGCAGCTTCCAGCCCTCACAAAATAACTCAATTAAACAGACAAGTGCAGTGAACCCAGGTCATTGCACCTGTCAGGGGGTCCCGGGAAGTCCTCTTCACTCAGAGACAGCAGCAGAGATGGGACCAGCAAAGTGCATGTTCAAGGGGGCCACCAGGAGTAAGACCTTCTGCTCAGGCCTGGATGAGGGACGTGACACTAGGTGGTGTTTGCAGCCCCATAGCTATGAGAGAAATTTATGCCACTCCGCATACTAAACAGAGAGTGGCAGATTTTGCTCTACAATTCTGGCCAGGAGAAATAGCATGTTATTTTATTTTTAATGTACTTTCAAAACTTTAAAACTTCTTCCTCTCTAAATAAAATTAGTCTGACTCCAAGCTCCTACTTGCCAGAGTAGCAGGAAAATCAGTCCTGGGCTTTGCGGGTCACACAAGAATTCAAGTGTTGGAGTTGGAGGAGGGGAGTCACGTTTTCCTCTTTCGGGGTCTGGGGCAGGGTGTGCTCTGCTCTGTGGCAAGCCATTATGACCTCTACAGACCCTTTGTGCCATGTTGCAAAGGTGGCCCCTGGCAGTGGTAGCTTCCAGGACACAGCTTAGGAGTAGACAGTGATTTTGTTGGAAGAAAAGTGCGCCCTTCTTCCAAGTGAGAGGATTTCCAACCTTCACTCAGCCCCACAGCCTCACACAGGCCCTCTCTTCTCTGCACAAACCACACAGCAGCACACTCTGTCCTTGCTATCCGGCCAGCACCGGAGTCAAGCTTGAGATGTTGGGGTCTTTACAAGCCTGGGGACCTGGTGCCACCTACGTAGGTGCTTCTAGTAGCAATTCCTTTTGGACACTGCAGGTAAGGGGCCACCAACCCCAGGTTCCATCCTGAGCAGCCCCCCCACCCCTTTGTTGCTCCTCCTCTTTGGGGGACTTCCCTGCATCCCTTTTAATTTGGACAATCCCATAGAATTGCTCTCAGTGGGCTTCTAGAAGCACAAAGTTGCCTTCTCTTTTCAGGGATCAGAGAAATAGATGGCAGCATCCATATTTGTGGAAGGGCTCAATGTTTCTTACTAACTTGTCCTGTTACATGAACAACTGCAAATCTCAAAAGCAGACAGTGGAGGTGGTTTTAGAAACTCCTGGAGCTCTGGAATCCCATACTCCAGTTCATTCCCCTGGCACATTAAATGCAGTGAATTCTGAACTGAATACATCCTTTCCCCCAAGCCCCTCCTCTTTCTGTCCCTCACATTTCTGTCTGTGCCTCTATCATTCTTGTCACCTGAGCACAGCACTTGCGTCCTTCTTTACCCCTTCTTCCCTTCATTCCCCATCTAGAGTGTGCTCAAAGCCCCGCGGAAGCCTTGCAATTTCTCTCCAGGCTGAATTATGCAACAGCCACTTCGCTGGCCTCTGCACCCGCTGACACCCCCTTGAGTCCCCATTTTCTCCAAAGGTTCAGCTTTGATTATGCCACTTTCCAATTCTAAATCCCCCAACTCTCTTTATCTTCCTAATAAAATCAAAATGTCCTTATGCAAAACAGAAACGCCCTCTCTTCTCAATATCTAGTTTCCATCTGATCTCTCCTTCTCTTTTATGATGGATGACAGACGCTCAGCTCCATTTCATGATTTGCCACTCCCGCAAACCATTCTGAGTGTCTCTGTCTCTCAAATCTTTTGTTTCCTCTAGATTTC